GCATTAATGTCTGCTTTTATCTCTTATCCCTCTCATGCTAAGCTTCATACTCTCAAGGCAACATGAGAGAGTGTAGCTCTCAGACCACCTAGCAATCTGCTTTAGAGAGGGGTAGGAAGTAAATCAGAAAATATCTTCTATTTCTGTTGATCGGGTTAAGTATAACTAGCCATGCTACACTTAGAATGAGATATAAACGCATTTGTAGTCATTTGTGATGTTTTCCCACTATATAAAATAAAAGCATTTGATGTTGGGACATCTCAGAATTGCTGAAATAAATTTTTTTTCAGGCTCAGTTGTTGGCAGGATTTTTGGATCATAAATTTGTTCGAGGGACAAGTGCGTTCTTTGCCAGGAGCCATCTTATCAGCTTGCATAAGAGCAGATCAGGGAAATAGCAAGCAGGGTAGGGTTGGAGCTCATCCAGAAGCTCAAACCTCTGGGAGCTGTGCCCTTTCCCCTGTCCTTCCCTGTCTCTCCTTGTCTCTCAACAGCTTGGTAATACAAACACTTTTCATCCTTTGAGCAAAACAAGAAACTGGTAATGCTATTTCTTAGAGTGGTAATTCTTCCTCTAAAAGTATCTTTCCAAAAAAGCTACAACACTTGCAGTTTTAATGTATCCCAGGAGCAAGACAAGAAAGAGAAATAAGTTTTGGACTGATTGATGTTTTGAAAAATGGTTAATTGAAGCATATAAAAAGTGATTTGAGAAACCGTATAGGATAGTGCTCAAAAATATACTCCATCCTTCCTCTTGGTTTATAGTTTGAGGAGATGTGTTATGTAGAATCTCTGTATCTCTGAATCTTTGATCTGAGTAGAAGCTGACAGGATGGAGATGTGTTAGATTTAGCTTGGCTTTCTGAGATGGAGTCTTATTTAATAATCTCATGCAAATATCTTTTAGGTAAACAACCAATGTGTTTAAAACATGAATTGTCAGGTTTAGGCATGGGTTTGAGTCAGTGACTGTAATTAAATGCTCAAATTGATCTTTTTTTTTTTTTTTTTTTTTTTTTTTTCTTTTGCTGTAGACCTTTCTAAAGTGAAGCTGATGAGATTTGATGATCCACTCTTGGGGCCTCGGCGAGTTCCTGTCCTTGGAAAAGAGCACACCGGGAAGACCCCCATTTCTGAGCATGCTGTTTTCCACGTGGACCTCATGAGCAAGAAAATTCATCTCACTGAAAATGGGCTAGGGGCAGATATTGGTGATACAATTGTTTATTTGGTTCATTAAACTCATGCAAATTGGAGATATATCCTGGTTTCTGGAGATACGACTATTCTGTGTCTACAGATTGGCTATGAGAACCTAAGACTGAACCTTGATAGACTTCATTTCTAATGATCAAATTCTGCATGTATTCATAATTATACCAAGTCATCTTGGGTTCCTAGACCTAATAAATTATTTTTTTCCTCCTTGGGACTTCTGAGAGAAGTAGTTTGTATCATTTTTTATTTTTTATTTTTTTATTTTTTGGTCTTTTAACAAATTACTGCTATTTCCTAGAAGCTTCCTTTTTTAAGTTTATTTATTTATTTTGAGAGACAGAGACAGAGACAGAGAGCAACTGGGAGAGGGGCCGAGAGAGGGAGAGAGAGAATCCCAAGCAGGCTCCACACTTTCAGTGCAAAGCCTGGTGTGACTCACCAACTGTGAGCTCATGACCTGCGCTGAGGCCAAGAGTCAGATGCTTAAGCAGCTGAACCACCTGGGTGCCCCCAGAAACTTCTAGTCTTTCAGATTAACACAAAAGTGTCAGTATGTTTCTTTCATGAAGGGTACTTTATCTAGCAACTTTTCATATTATATCCATTATGGAGTTAGCGGTAAAGAGAAAAGTGAATTAGCTTGTTTTACTGTTTTAAAAAAAAACAGAACTCATGATGATTTAAAAAAACACATGAGAATATTTTGACTTAATTATGATCACTAAGTATTTTGTATAAAGAATAAATAGGTCTTGTATTTATAAGGATTTTTTTTAACTTTAATATATTCGATTAACCACCAATAATATTTTTTTCAAGGCTAATATCAATGGTTTAGAAGCAGTTTATGTAACCATCTACACTAAATTTAGGTATTTTAATATTTGTTTTTTTAAGTAGGCTCCACGCCCAGCACAGAAACCAATGTGGGGCTTGACCTCACAACCTTGAGATCAACACCTGAGCTGATATCAAGAGTCAGACGTTTAACTGACTGAGCCACGCAGGTGCCCCGAAATTTAGGCATTTTAAGAAGGATTTTCCCCCCAGAAATCTTCATTTATCAAATTTGTCTCAAGTCCAATTGTGTTTAAAGATCATGCCCACTGTATTGCAGATATATTCCTTTATTCTCGCTGGAATGTCTTGATGATATTGTCTGTGCCGTTCCTTGTCATATGAGGAAAAAGTATTAGGTATTGAATGACATTGGAGAAAAACATTTCCATTTCTTGAAGGGCTCAATTTGTGCAGAGACCAATTCTGATAACCCTAAGAAACCTGAATTCTAATCTTCAGGATATGTCAAGAGATTTTACTGAACTTCTTTATTTTGCAACATTTTGACATCACTGGGCCAAAATGAATGCTGTGTCATAGAGTCATTGAAGTAAGTCATAGAGTGTTAGAACTGAAAGATCCCTCAGAGATCAAGTGTAAGTCATTATTTATCTGCTGCAGCCCGGCAGCATAGCCTGGCAGGTAAGCTTACATACTGTCAAGCTAGGTAAACCAGGTTAGTTTTCCAGTTTTTCCATTTGCTTCTTGGGGATCTTGTCCAGTTACTCAGCCTCAGTTTCCTCATCTGTAAAATGGAAGTAATAATGTGTCTACTTTCTAGTCTTATTGTGAGATATTTAGATGAAACAATCTTAGAAAATCCTGTATATAGCATAGTAACTGGCGAGTGGTAAGCCTTCAGTAGGTGTTACTTATTAATAATTAATTTAAAAAAAGCCCCAGGATATATTGGCTTAAGATTACTCTCAGCTATAATCATGTCCTTAGTATTGGTTTCTGTGAGGCCACCATCATGTTGTTTGTCCTCCTTTAGATTCTTTTGCTGCTCTCAATCTGCACAACCTTGATTATTCCCCAAGAAATTATTCCTCAAGTAATCTTTCCTGGTGCCTAAATACAAACTCACTTATGTTTAACTTAACTTATAGGCAAATTAAACTATATGTGCTTGGCAAAAAATCAAAAAGCAAATGAGGAAGGAAAATAATTTTAATATTGTGCATGATTATGCCTATTTTATAAAATGAGCCTGTGAACTTGTGTTGCTTTGGATTAAGTGTGTGTTGGGATTCATGGATCCTCTGTTCCTGCAAGTTCATTTCCTTGGTCTCTCTTAGAATGAACATCTTGCTGGGCTGAACATGCTTCTTGTGTTTAAAGATATCTAAGTTTCGTACAAGGAAGCCTTTAAGCATAAGCCTGTTGCTTCACCTGGTGCTCCACTGAAGGAACAGCAGTTAGTTGAAATGCCAAAGGAAAAACAGGTTGCTTTGGGCTAATGGCATTGATAGGAAATTGATACCTTCCTAAAGGATTTTACTTCTTTTTAAGTTGTGAAATATGCCCAGACACAAAAACTGAATAACGATAAGAAATATTTCATATACACACAAAATATTAAAAGCATTAAAAGTTAAATTCACAAAAATATTAGCAACAGCAAACTGATCTGCCAATAGAGCAAAAACCTATATAATCACCACTCAAAGAACAGCACAACGCTGGCACTTCAGAAGCCTACCTAGTGCCTTCTCTCGTAAAGACAAGCTTGCGTCCCGTTCAGTATACAATTGTTTCTATACATGTTCTATGTGAACCTGCAAACAGTGTCTATTCTGCAGTTATAGAGTTCTGTATATGTCCTTCAGGTCATAGTTGCAGACTGAACTGTTCAAATGTGTATCCTACAGTTTTCTTGCTTTGGTTTTGAGAAGGGTACTAAAATCTACCAAGATCATGGATTTACATTTTCCTCCTTACAGTTCACATAGTTTTCGTTTCATATATTTTGATGCTGTGTCATTAGGTGTGTATCAATTTAAATTGTTATCTTCCTGGTAAATTGGCCTTTTTCCTTTTTTAAAAGAATGTTTATTTTTTTGAGAGAGAGGGAGAGAGAGCGCAAGAGACAGCGCGTGTACAAGTGGGGGAGGGGCAGAGAGTGAAGAGACAGCTGCCAGCACAGACCCCAGTCTGGGGCTTGATCTCATGAACTGTGAAATCATGACCTGCACCAAAACCAAGAGTCACACGCTTAACCAGCTGAGCCACTCAAGCACCCCAAACTTTTAGGAAGTGTTCCTCTGTTTTTAGAAGTTTTTTGCCTAAAGGCTATGATATTATCATAATAACATCAGTTCCCTTTTGGTTAGTGTTCCAGTGGAATATCTTTCTCCATCCTTTTAACCTTCTGTAGCTTTATTTTAACATTTTATTTTGACAAATTTTAAACGTACAGAAAAGTGGAAAGATTGACCAACAAGCAGCCATATACCTGTTACCTAGATTTACCAGTTGCTAACATTTTGCCACCTTTGCTTTCTCTCTCTCTACGTATGCAGTTTTTAAAGTTTATTTATTTATTTTGAGAGAGACAGCATGAGCAGGGGAAGGGCAAAGAGATAGAATAGAATCCCAAGCAGGCTCCACCCTGTCAGCACTGAGCCCAGTGCAGGGCTCGAACTCACGAGACATGAGACCACGACCCGAGGGAAAATCAGCAGCTAGATGCTTAACCGACTGAGCCACCCAGGTGCTCCTCTAAATATGCATTTTTATTTATTTATTTTTTATTAAAAAAAAATTTTTTTTAATGTTTATTTATTTTTGAGACAGAGAGAGACAGAGCATGAATGGGGGAGGGTCACAGAGCGGGAGACCCAGAATCAGGAGCAGGCTCCAGGCTCCAAGCTGTCAGCACACAGCCTGACGTGGGGCTTGAACTCACAGACCGTGAGATCATGACCTGAGCCGAAGTCAGATGCTTAACCGACTGAGCCACCCAGGCGCCCCTAAATATGCATTTTTATATAAAGCTTTTATTTTGGGATACTTTTAGATTTACAGAAAAGTTACATCTATTAAACAGAGTGTTCCTGTACATGCTTCAATCAGTTTCTTCTCATGTTAACAGACATCTCATATAATAACCTTGGTTCTGTTGTCAGAGGTGAATAATTAGCATTGGTATTTTACTATTAACTACATTATAGGCTTTATTTGGATTTCAGCAGTTTCTCGACTGATATCATTTTGCTATTATAGGATCCAACCCAGGATACCATTTTGCATTTAGAATATACTTTTAAAAAATTCTGAACCATTTGACGCTTAAGTTGCACACACCATGACACTTTACTTTTCGATACTTTAGCACGTAACTCCTAAGAACTAAGACAGTCTCCTGTATAATCACTATATATACACACACATGCATATATTTTGCTCAAGAAATTTAACGTGATGCAATAATTTTAGGTAATAAGCTTTCTTAATAAAAATGAAGTAATAAAATTTCCCGATAACTCATTAATCATTTTTTTAAAACTCTTAGGATCTAATTAAAGATCAAGCATTACATTTTGTGATCATGTCTCTTGACCTCCTTCAAACTAAGAAAATTTCTCAGCTTTTCTTCTTTGGTCTTTCATGACTAGCATATTTGAAGACTGTGGCAGTTATCAGTACTTTGTCTCACAATGTGGATTTGACTATTTTCTCATTATTAGATTCAGATTTAAAATTTTTGGCAAGACCGACTATATGGGTGACATTTCCCATTTTATCACATCAGGATGGCTATATTGATACATTGGTGTGTTTCCATTACTGGTTAAAGTGGTGTTTTCAGGTTTCTCCATTGAAAAGATACCTTTTCCTTTTTATAATGAGTAAGGTGATATTTTGAGACTTACATGAATATCCTGTTTACCTGCAAACTTGCATGGAATGGTAGCATTCATTGGTCATGTTTTCTGCCATTTATTATTACATGGGTAGTTGTAATAAGTTGATTCTTTTTTTTGGTTTAATGTTTAGTTATTTTGACAAGGAGAGAGAGGGAGAGAGAATACAAACAGGGGAGGGGCAGAGAGAGAGAAAGAGAGAATCCCAAGCAGGCTGTGTACTGTCAGTGCAGAGCCTGACGCTGGGCTCGATCTTGAGATCATGACCTGAGCTGAAATGAAGAGTCAGATGCTTAACCAACTGAACCACCCAGGC